TGAGCCAGTCAGAGGGTGAGAGTGTAGAGAGCTGGCCCTGCCTCCTGCTGATGGTGGCACTGGGTAGCCTAGCCAGAGCAGTGCTCAAGAGCTTGCCCTGATGGTGCAGATAAGGGAGAGCCAGTGGGCTGATCAGCTCAGCCACCACCCAGGGCCAGATCCAGGGCTTTGATTTGGCCCACCCCAAAAATCTGCATTATCTGTGAACTGCTAAGGGTCAGTCCTGCTGACTCAAAACTGAAGGATCTCCATGACACAGGGCAACAAAAGGATAACCAGGCCCTGTGAAGATTCAATATTGATGGTGTCACAGAAACCAGAGATCGAAAACCAGACCAATGACTCACTGCAATGAACATTCACCAGTGAAGATGTGGAGACAGAGGGTATGTTATGAGACACACTGTGACATACTACAGCTTCCACAACAAGATGTTTTCTGTTTTATTTTGCTTTGTTTGTGTGGTTTTAATTATTTTTGTGGAGGAAGGGAGGTTGCAAGGGTAGAAGGCAGATACAAGTGGGACTGGGGTGCATGATGCGAAAGTAACAAAGAAACAATAAAAAGTTAAAAAAATGTACCTCTAGATCTTGATAGGCAAAAGGCTTTGAGGTGACCTAAAAGTTACTCAATGCCTACCAAAGCTAAAACCCAGTGCTTTTTAAATGAAGACAGCAAAACCCAAGCCCAGACACTCAGCACTCAGCCTGGTAACAGTAATGTTACAGCCATCGGCCCCTTTGTTTGTCCTTTACGTATACTTATGTTCACACATGCATACATAGACTATTACAACTCTTACAACTCCTATGTGTAACACGCACGCACGCACGCACACGCACGCACACGCACACACACACACACACAGAGAGAGAGAGAGAGAGAGACAGAGAGAGAGAGAGAGAGAGAGAGAGAGAGAGAGAGAGAGAGAATTATACATAAGAAAGATAAATCCACAAAGATAACTGGTAGCTTTAAATTTCAAAACACATGGTGAACGAGTGAACAGAAGATCACTAGTGACTGCAGACAGCATTTCATGAGTGGAATCTGACAGAGACACAATGTCAGGTCAATGTTAAGGGTGCATGAGAGAATTAGTTGCTCATACAATATATACATTTCCACAAGAAAGCATATTTTAGAGAATGTTAGTGCCATTATTGGAGAAAATAAAAACCAAAACACTTTCTAAAACCTTACCTGGCCTTGAGTTACAATTTCCAAATTATTTAACTGTCAATATTTGAATCTGAACTTGATTTCATTAGTATAAGGTCAAATTTCTTATCTTGAAAATCCTCAAAATTATGACATTTCTACATCCAAGAAAAAAAATCTATTCTCTGAAGGTGTTAGTGTGATGGTTCGAATGGGAAATGTCCCCTTTGGCTTACACATTTGAATACTTGGTCCCCTGGTTAGTGGTGCTACTTAGGTGGGTTACAAAGGTGTGCCCTTGCTAAAGAAAGTATGTCACTGGGCTTGGGCCTCACTCCACTTACAGTGTGTTCTTTACCCTACATGCTTGTGGTTGAACGTGCTTTCGTAGCCTGCTAGAGTAACCTGCTGCCAAGGCTTTCTTTGACATTATGGATGCTCCCTCTAGAACCATAAGCCCAAAGAATTGTTTTTGGTCATGGTATTTTATCAAGGCAAACAGACAAATAACTAACACCCTCTTTATTGCACTTCTGTGGGAAGTGTCTGCCAATCACGCAGGCACTCTATGTCTGCTACAGAGACGAAAGCAAGCATACAGTTACACAGGCAGAGCTCACTAGCTCATCATCACACTCTAGCTCTTAGAAAAACAATGGAGGCTAACGCATACACAGGGGGCCTGGGGGTCAAAGACCTGAGGGTGGACGTGGTATCGGGATTATATCTTACACACTGACCAGGAGCCACACAATTCAGTAACCACTTTGTTACTTCACTTTAGTTTGCTTCTTTTTCTTTTTTCCTTTAAAACTAGTGACATCTAAACTATCCTGGGTTCCCAATAGAATATGATGAAATATATTTTACTCCCACTGCCAACCTGAAGGGGCTTGGTTAAGAATACACATCTACTTGCTCGTGTACCTTAAATATTACTCCAAACATATTACAGTCCTATAACAGAAATGGATACAGACATTTCCAGTTGTGTAGGACTCTTAACGGCTGAATTCTGTGGATTTACCTAAGGTTAACTCATTGAAAAGAAACAAGAAGACACATACCTCTAAGAACATCTCCCACCCCTAATTTCCAGTGTGGAATCCTGCCCCGCGTCTGGAATTTTAGACATGCCATTTAGGCTTCCAGTGGGAAAACTCCAGGACGTTTAGCATTTAGAGCCAACTATAAACCCAATCAATCCTAATTACCTACTTCCTGAAGTAATCCAGCTTTCAAATCACTTGAGTTCTGCCCTTCACATTTATTTTTAGTTTTACGTGTGTGTATGAAGTTATTTTACATAGAAACAGATACATATAAAATGCTAAAAAAAACCCCAAGTATATTAGTACACAGTAAAGCATTGAAAGGAACCCAAATAAAGTCAATTTACAGCCCCATTCCCTGAACTTAAAGCTCAGGCAGACCAGGTACCATCACTGAAAGATATCTCAGAAGAACATTCTAAGTCACTGCAAGTGTTTCTACTTTGTGCATTTCAGAACCAATGGGAAACAAGTCCCGGCAATATAAACATGTCCTTAGTATCCATGTTTATTTTTTAACGAGTCATTTCTGAACCTAATCTAATTTCTTTGTTAAACAGAAAAAAAAAATAATTCAAGTCATAATAAAAAACAAAAGAGATATGATTATGCCAGAGATTTCCCATAATTGAAATAAAAAAAAATTTTAGGAAGAAGAAACCTCCTTAAACATTACAAGCAGCTGTTTTATCACTTTAAAATACTGAATGTCTTCTGTCCAGCAGTTATCTATCGTCCACATCACAGTCCTTCGCTATCTCAGTAGCCACATCTATTGATTTAATCTCCTCAGAGTAAGAGCACGGGAGGGAGAGCAGATGTACTCCAGCCCTGGGTGATGGAGGGGTCTGTTCAGGAGCCTGATGACTGGGCCCGCCCTACTGGAACTCCTGCAAGTAGCCTGTGAGAATGTCAACTTGGAGTCTGTTCTGGAGGGCAGGGTCCCTAGAGAGTCCAAATGTTGGCCTGTTTGTATTTTCACATGCTTTACAATCTGAAAGTCCTTCCTTGTAGACACTGACTGATGCCCAGGGAATGCTAGGACTGTGGGAACTGGCAGGACCCGTGAGAGATAGCTTCCTGGGAAACCTGTGCCCACTGCTTTTGCCCTCTCAGGGACCAAAAGATAAGCTGCCTGTCAGTGTTGTGAAGGTGTATGAGTAGCAGGAAGAAGCTGGGTGCCATTTTTGTTTCTTTAAAAAGAAGTCATTGTGGAAACAGGAAGCAAAAATTCCTGGGACTACTAAAAAACAAAACAAACCCATCAAGTTATAAACATTGTTGGGAGAAACCTATGAAAATGATATGTCTTTGTCATGGACAAAGGTACCAGGTTCTTTAAGTGTCCACAGTCATTCTGCACTGTTCTAAACACTACAGAGTTACCTCCTCTCCTGTCAAACTGATCAACTGGGCAGGAAGTAGGTGTGGCCCCCCAGTCTGTAGGAGGGAAGCAAACAGAAGGAAGAAAATGCACAGGTAGGAAAGGTCCGCCTAGGGCCTGGCCCTGGCTTTTGTCAGAGCTGCTGTTCTTAACCACCTTATGTGCTGCTCCTCGGGTTCCTGCTCATCAAGCATGGAAAACTGAGTGCTTACAATGTCTCTGTGTGTTCAGTGAGAATCACCTCTACACTGCTTCTCTGTATATGGTCAGGGAACTGCTTTCAGAGACCTATATGTCCAACAGTTTCACAGAAATACGCTGCATTCTGAATCGCTGGTCCTATATTAGAGGCTGGAAATTTAAGAATTATCTTAGGGCAAGGCACACAATAGTCATCTCAATACTGTTTGCTAATAATATTTTTTTAAAAATATCTTTCAGTGACCAATGAGATGGTTCAGCTAGTCAAGGCACTTGCAGCCATGTCTGATAGCCTGAGTTCAATCTTCATATGGTAGAGACAGTGGAGGGAAAGAACCATGCTGTCTTTACATAAGCATATGTGTGTACACACTCATACACATAAATAAATGTAAAAATAAAAGTATCTTTATTTCTATCCTCAAAGTGCCAACTTTTAGCAGCATGAGAGATGCTGGCTAACTTTGAGAGGTTGGTCAAGCAGCACAGTCAGCACCACAATTGCCCTGTCAGGAGGAGGCTTCTATTCCAGGTAGTATTCTAATTTTGTTGCTATCAACTTCCCAGTCTGCAGTTTGTCAACCATCCAAACATCTGGCAGGTTCTAAATGAAGCCTGCAGGAACCCAAGACTAATGGTAAATGAAACTTCTTGCTTTTCTTATTATGTCGTATTGAACACAAGGATCACACAGCAACATCTTAAGATGGTAAATACAGATATCTGCATTTTCTCAACGAAAACAGCAACATACAAGTCAAGAAAAGACATTGATCATTTGGACTTTTAAAAAAAAGGTGAAATAGTGCCATTTAAACTTGACATGCTGCCACCATCAGTACCTCTGAGAAGCACAGGAAGAGAATACTGTGTATTCTAAGGAAGACCCATTATATTAAGAATAATATCCATCAAGTCAATTTCTCTTTCCTTTTGACAATGAGGAGCATTTGACAACAGAGAGCTCTATGTATGTTTAATAACATGACATGTGACTACTCTGGATCTTTGGGAAAGTCATCAGCTGGCTGACGTGAGAGCACACTGAGGGCTGTGCTGCCTAATGAAGGTCACAGGACAGTAGTGAGAATGAGGAAGAGGAGCATGTGATGGGATGAGGAGGCAGTGGAGGGAGCAATGGCTGAAGCTGCAGACAGACACTGGGATGGGTGTGCTGTGACAGACTGCTTCTCAGACTTACCTGTGCTCACAGACTGAGCCGGCAAAGGAAGCTGCAGTCCTGACTCCCCAAAGACTATACTTCCTGTTAATAACAGTGAGGGCAGCAGTGAGGCAGGAGGGCCAGGAGTATGGTTAAAAGAGTTAGAAAACAGTGGTTACCACGGCTTCTTAGTTTATGTGATCATTAACTACAAACCGGAAGGAAGGAAGGAAGGAAGGAAGGAAGGGAGGGAGGGAGAGAGGGAGGGAGGGAGGGAGGGAGGGAGGGAGGGAGGAAGGAAGGAAGGAAGGAAGGAAGGAAGGAAGGAAGGAAGGAAATGAAGACCCAACTCATTGTTATTCTTGCTCATCTTGTTGCTTTCTGTTATAACAGTAGTACTTTATTTATCTTAAAGTATAAGCTAAATGACATTGACCACTCATGTTTCCCAGTACCCTCCCTCTATTTAACAGGCTCTCCATAGGTACGACAGAGTACAGGTTTCTAATGTCTCTTTTCTCTTTCTCAATGCTCTCTGAAGGATTGCAACTCCTCCTTTACAAATTAGTTCATTAATCTCCAGTCCAATGTCTAATAAAACATATAGTAGATTCTAATTTTAAGAAAACCATCATATATATACACACACACACACACACACACACACATATACATACATATATGTATATGTACATATATATATATATATATATATATATATATATATATATATATATCCCATACTTTTTGAATCTAGTACCTAAAAAAAAAAGCCTTTTAAACTATTCAGGTTAGGCATTTGTATATATTATGATGCTATAATTTCAATGTCAGCTTAAACTAAATAGCTAATTACACTGTTCTCTAAGTCACCCTTTTCAGTACATATAATAATCAATAATCGCTGATGCTCCAAAGGCATTTTTTAAAGAGACACCATTTAAAACTCCAAACAAATGACTCTATGAGATGTTGGGAAGGGGGTGTCTGCAGCCCTGAGGACGCACCTTTGAAACTGTGGGTCCTCCTGCTCCTCTCCCACCAGCGTATGGCATATACTATGAGGGTGTGTACAGCAACACACTGAAACGAACTAAATCCTTACTAACAACAACTGTCGGAATAAGAAACCCAGAGCAGAAGAGGGCAGACAGGTTATAGATAATTATAGGCATTGTGAAACAAAACAAGTTATTCAATAGGAGACTATAAAGCCATTATGAAAGGGCGTGCCTCAGCCCTAGGGTCTTATAAGGCTTCATTTTCATTCTGAAGGAGTCAGGAGATAAACCGTTCATCAACACCATCTTCTGCCACAACCAGTGAAGAATTTCATTTGCAGGCGTCGATCTAGAATTTGTTTTTGAACTTTATATTTGTGTTTAGTCTAAGTCCTAAAAGGTGATTGCAAAAATTAAAAACTTGAATATGGAATATACAAACGTAAACAATTTCTTTTCTTAGTCCAATTTCTGAAGAAAAATGATCAAACCTTGTCACAGTGTTTAGTAATGCCCTGAAGAGTCATAGTAAACATTCTGGACTCAAATGCCACCAGGAAAGTGAGCCAGGGGAATTTTACAGAAAATGATCAATTGCTGTCTGTTCACTGTCTGTGATACTTTCAGAATGTTGTAGTTTCTGGCTCCAGAAACAACACTGGCCATCTCCTCTCCTCTCTATCCCACTGTGGCAGCTCACGTGCAGTTCATGAAGCAGAGTTTGCCCAGGAACAGTGTTTATTATGTTTGCACATTTCCAAACACCTGAACTAACAGACTGATGAGGGGAGGGGAATGTTCTCAGAAAATGCAAAGAACAGAGCAACTGTGAACAGAAGCTGTTATTCACTAAGGGTCTGCCCTTGGCTTAGGGCCACAATCTGGAAAGTTCCCTGACTGTATGTGGCTAGATAAAGACCTGCGCTGAGTCCAAAGCCAAGGACCCTCTGTTTCCTTGTGTGCAACCAACTCTTGAGTACATCATTTCCTCTCTTGGAAAGGTCATTAAGGACAAGGCAAGAGAGAGTCTAAGTTGTTCACTGTATAAATGTAATGCAAGGGGGAAAAAAATCTCAGAAAAAAAAATTCAGATGAGGCTGTAAACTCAAGTCCCTAACCATGGTAACCAGTGATCTAAACGTTTGAAAAGAAATACGTCCTTTCTTTTGGACCCCACACATGCCATTTCACAGTAAACGTTTCTGATGGGATTGGGTGAGTCAGAGAGAGGTGGGAGGCCAATCAAAAGCCTCTCAGGATAGGCAGGTGGCAGGCACTGCTTCTCTACCACTGGATAGGTATTACCAGTGGTGAGCCTGAGGCTGTGTGAGGTGAGATGAGTCTCGCTCACACTGAAATACCCAAGATGCTCTGGAGAGTGTGAGACACCAAGCAGCTCTTTATCCTAGCAGCTACATTAGCTTCTCTGCAGGAATGCTGGAAATGCTTGACAGTTCTGCATCTGTCCTGCTTTTCTTTCCTGCAAACAACCTCAGAACAGTGTCTGCCAGAGTAGAGCTCTCCTTGAGTATGGATGCAGGAAAGGGCCACTGCAGCTCTTTTGGAAATGTGGCATCTACCTATACTGTCCTCCACCTGAGCTTTTCCCATTGAATACTAAAGGTCAGTATAAATATAGAGATAAGATGGAGCTAACTACTGTGTACCATGCCGGAATGAAGCTCAGTGTCCCTGTGGACTGGCTGTTTTCATAAAGAAACACTGCATATTATATCCTTTATAGGGCCCATCTGGAAAAGCTGACTGCCTAAGTGACTGCCTTATTGAGATGTTACTGGGTATAATTTTAGCAACATAGGCTACAATGATGCAATCCTTCTACTCACTAATCACAGACATAAACACCTACAATATGTCCAACAGAAGAGAACACAGCACCAGTGAGAAAAGTTCAAATGCCTAGGGATAACAATAAAACACACAAGCAGGGACATGTGAATCACACAATTTTTGGTTACACAATATTTTGTAAGTGGTTTTGAGGCTAATACCTACATTTTGATATAATTTAAACATAAGATTAGGAAGAACTAAAAATATGAATAATATACATTAAAAGATCAAAGAAAGCAAGTCAGGTCTATCGCCTATCTTTCTTATTTGATATAAATATATGAAATATTCTGCTCAAAACCTAGATTTATTTTTATTTAACATTTTAATTTGTTTTAATTGGAGGGAGGACACAGATTCGACTCTCACAACTGTCCAGGAATGCCAATACGTCATTACTCACAGTTAGCACTCCACTCTAACACACTTCTCCTGACTCAGGTTCTCATCTCCTGACCAGTATCTCCCTAGAAACCTACATTTCTGGTAGCTGGTACAGAAGGATCACTTTCATACCTTGGAAAGTGTATGTAAAGCAGGCAGATCTTTCAAATTTCCTGCAGTCATCTCAGAAAAAAAGAGGGAGTTACCTCCTGTTTGAATCCTTAGATGGTGCTTCACTGTGAGATGGTCTTCCATGGCTTAACACTGAACAGAAATTAGTCTTGGGGAAAACACATTGGCTAAAAAGCCAACTTCATTCAAAAATAAATTTATATTTATAGAATCACTATAATGATAATTAAAGAAAAAAAATCAATATATTACTTATATCCAAGCTATACAGTACAATATTGTTGCTACAAAAAAGTGTTTCAAAATTATTTTTTAAAACAGTCAAACATTTTTCTCTCATAAAGGACACTAGTAAAAGTAGCTGATCTGGGAAACAAGCAGGCAGACATAAGACAGACCGGAAGGCAGCATATGCTTCACTTGTACTCAGAACAGCTAAACAATATGCATTTGACTTGAAAAAAGAATACAAAGCGGCTTTATTCTAAAACAAAAGGCAAAATCTATGTAAGACTACGAATAGTGACAAATCAAATATAAATCATTATGTCACCAAGATCACAGATATGAGACAACGGCTGGAGAAAACAGTCCTACCACTGCATGAGTGGTGTTTCCACACTTGTAACTTAGAAGCTGCTGGAATTCCGAGTGACAGAAACAAAGATGAAGCCTGGAAATCACAGCACAAGAGAGGAATGCTGGCTGATGAACGCTGTGGTTTCAGTCATGATGAGAGTAGAACAGCAATATTTCTACAAATTATTTCATCAAATTATTTCATAAAATATAGCTCTCTTAGTAAGTTAAACCCTTTACCTTTCATCTACCTCTCTAATGACATGTTCAGGAAGGAGATGACTTCAGTGGTAGAGTGTTTGCCCAACCTAAATAAGGTCCCTAGCACCAAAATAACAAAATGATTGTCTAAGAGGAGCCTGTTCTATCCCCCTACATCCACCTTACACTCAGGTACGTACATGAACATCTGTGAGAGAGCGTGGTCTCTACATGGACTGCATGTCCATGGTATGTCCATCTTGGTGCATTCCCTCCTCTGCTACACATGGCCAGTTGTGAGAAGTTTGACCTTCTGATTTTATACCAAATATAACTCAAATCACTGGGACAGGAAACTGGTCCAAGAGTGCATTGCAACTTGATTGTATTTACTCATTTCTGAGTTAATATATTTGTCTCAGCCATTGTCCACAGTAAAGCTAGGCTCTTGGAGACAGAATATCTAAAAGCCATCTTACAAAACTGAGTCTGTGTGTCTTGTTTAAGCTAAAATGGTCAAGGGCAGAACTTAACAGTAAGATTCATGACACAAAGCTACATGACTCTTAAAAGAAGACACAGGAAGCTCATGCAAAACCCTGTCCTGAAGGATTACACAGTATTCTGCTCTTGGCAAGGAGAGCCCAGACTCTGGGACACATTCAGGCCCCAGAAACCTAACAGGGTAAATGGAAAGCATTCTATAGGAAAATCACTTTATTTGTAAGGGTAAAGGCATGAGGTTTCTGACAACAAGGCAAACCCATGTGAAGTTCTGGGCTCTCCTTGAGTATGGTCAACATGCATTCTGAATTGTGTTTATGTTTCAAGTGTACTACACTGTATTAGAACTAAGTGTATCTAGTCTGTCTTTACTCATTAATTTGTGTTTTGGGGACTCTGGGATGCCTTTGTCAACAATGAGAATCTACGATACTGAAAAGGACTGGTTAGAAAATATTAACTCTGTATACAAGAATGAACTAACTCCAAAAACAATCTAGCTCATCTTATGTCCATTAGTATAAAGTCTTGCTTTCACTGAGTGGGCTAACTCTTACCACTCTGAAATTAAGCTCCAACACATTGGAGATGGTAAAAGGAAGAAGACAGTCATGGTCAACATCCACTTCTAGTATAAGCAACTTCACAATGCCTTTCCAGCAAGAGATCTTCCCAGTCCAAGATGGGCTAATCTAAGGCTGACGTCTAAAGGTAGTACTTCAAATAAAGACAGTTGCTGGTCAAAGAAATGCATGAGAAGTGAAATCCTGCCTTTTCTCAGGGAGAACGTTGCTTACAGGGCTTGCCAAGTGTAAATGATACAGAGTCACAAACTGGAATTATCTACACCTACTAAAAGGATGACTGTCTAAATCAAAGTCCCAAATGCAGCTGGACTCACCATTTTTGCGCTCGTTCAGAGGGGGTAAATGCTGGCTGGACTGTAGAGACAGTTCCTGGAATTCGTGAGCCACAGCCTCACTCTGAGGACTTGGTGCAAGGTGGGCTAGAGGTCCTAGCTCCTCCTCTGTGTCTATGGTTCCTGTGTGATCCATTGTGTTCCAGGCACTGGCAACAGGAAGTATCAGACACCTCTTTTAAGCAGCCTGTTGGAGAGAGTGACAAAATATTTAAGAAGGTAAATGAAATAGTACCTTAAGTTTTCTCCAGTTGGCACAAAAGTATCAAGACAGATTCTCGGGGTTCATTACAGTTCAATTCTACCCATGCACCCATTGCCGACTCTTCCTCTCTGCATCTCAGGCTCCTTCACCAACTTCAGGGAGATGGCTCCTATCTAAAAAGCATTTGTACAGTAAATAGAACCTTAAAGACACTTTGCATATATTTTTGTATCAGGGATTATACAAATTATAGCTATCGCTGTCATTTAAAGACTTCACCACGTGCTAGATGAAAAGAAAAGTCAACAAACACTAATAAAAATGAAAGCATGGGCCAGCTTGAAGATCTACCCCAGTGCCTATATTTTGGGGAACTCTAAATTAGTCAGCACTCACAGCAACCAGCAGTACTTCAGACTCCTTCACCAGCCAGGGCCTCAGAATGAACAAAGATAGAACAAAGAAAATGCAGTTCATAAGGAAAAAAAGGTGTATTTTACATCACGGAGACTTGGAGCTGCTTGTTAGCACAGTGTAATTTGGACTGTGCTACTGAGAAGCTGGTAACAGAAGAATCAAAGACACAAGAGCCCTAAACGTGTGACACAGGTGAGGTGCTGAACTGGAAGCCCAGGGATAGCAATGCATCCATGCTGTGCAGTGGTATCACGTCTGTTCAAATGGTGGCCTCCTTCTGCGGTAGTGTTCCTTACATAGATTTCAACCACCTAGTGGCTCGGTGGTTTGCAGTTTTGACTCTTACATCACAGGAATTCTCCTATATAGAAACCTAGATACATGCTTCCATTTCTCTGCCTACATACCAGGAGTGGGATAACCAGATCACACAGCAGCAGCATATGTAGATTTTTTAGAAACTGGCTAAGTGGTGCCCACCACTAGGCGCCAGAGCCCAGCTGGTTCACAGCCTTGCCAATCCTTTTGTCGATTCTTTTCATTTTAGACATTTTAGTGGACATAGGATATTTCATGGTAGTTTGACATTGTTTTCCTGGTGACTAAAGATGCTGGACATCTTTTTATGTATTATTTTCCATTTCTTTATCTTCTTGGATTAGGTACTGATGATATCTGCTCATTTTTAACAGTATGCAGTTGGTGTTTTACAACTGAATCTTGGATCTTTGGCATATTCTGGACACAGCACTTTGTCATCATGCTTCTCTGGCAATCATTTTCTTCCATTTTTGTGTTCGTTAATATTTTGTAAAAAAAAAAAAAGGAGATACTTTTGATTTGGTAAGGTCTAATTTATAAATACTTTCTTTTATGCATCATACTTTTGTTGTTGTAGCTAAATATCATGCACTAGCCCATGGTCACAAAGGTCAACTCCTGTGTTTCCTTCTAGACATGGAAATATTTAAATCTAAGACACAAAGTTTTATACATGCAGTAAGATCTGAATCAACACTGGTGGCTTAAGAATGGTTATGGCTGCAGCATCACTTGTGGACAAGGTCATCTTCTCTACTGAATTGTCTTTGCACCTTTGCTGATAGTCAGCTAGCCTGTCAAATGTGTCCCTTGGTGTTCTAGTTAGTTCCTCAAAAAGGAAGAACTATACCCAACTCTTTGGGAGCTCCCCAAGCACTGCATGTGCATGTGCAGGAAAGACTGTGGACTATGCTATGGCAACAACAAGTGCACTGACATGTGCCGGCTGCCATACGGAAGGCAGAGTGGCCCAAACAAGTGAGGCAAGGTTACATTTTCCCTAAAAATAATCTTAAGAAGAAACCATCAAAACCTAGAGCATCTGCAGCTGCCAACCATTGGTGTTTTACAACTCCACTGTCATTGAAAACACCCGGTAATAAAGACGGCAGCAGCAGACAGCACTACTAGAGGACTCGTGTGGGACAAAGAAAAGGTGCAGCAGATGGAACATCTTAGGAGTGGGACGCACCACAGTGCTAATACACAAGGGAAGAACTAAAACCAGTTTTCCTTCTTAATTCTTCAATATTAAATTCAATGCAAAAGCTGAACACATTAGCATGGTCTTTGCAGGTGAAATCAAGGAGAGAATTTAACAAAATGGGTGAAGGGGGCAACTGCAAGCAGCATTTTTACATTTCTATAGACTGTAAGTAAAAGGTTTAAAAAGACTGAGAAGTTAAGGCAGAAGACAGTAATTCCTAAATACCTGCTCACAACAATGCAGACTTTTGTATTTCTTTGTGACCATGGGCTAGTGCATGATTTTTTAGCTACAACAAAAAGTATGAGGCATAAAAGAAAATATTTTTAAATTAGACCTTACCAAATCAAAAACATCTCCTTTTTACAAAATATTAACAAACACAAAAATAGAAGAAAATGATTGCCAGAAGCATAATCACATTAATCTTAGCTGAGATACGAATAGAAGACTTTAAATAATATTCTAAAAATTACCCAATTAACTCCCAAAAGAAAGGGAGAGTGAAGAAGAGAAGACAAAAACAAGTGATAAGACAGTAAGCAATAAGACAGTAATCAATCTTCCAATGACTACGCGGCATTGTAAGGGCTAAACGCTCTAACTGAAAGAGAAGTTGACAATGTTTGCTTCTTTTTAAAAGCATATACAAAAATACATATGCTCACAACTAACACATAATTCTGGTAGAGGGTGAAGACTACATACCACTATCAAATAATGTTGACTTCAAAAGGCTCTATTAGGTAGATGAATTTGTAGGCAAAATTACTTATTTTACTAAGAACACTAAAATATAACTCATAGATTTTTCAACACTGAATTTTCATTTTGAATTAATTATTTCTAAAAAATAAAATCTGTTCATTCCAAAATATTTTGAAGTTACAAGTACCAAAATGCCCTTACAATGGCAATATATACAAACTCTGAACATCGATGGTGATGATCTGGAGGGTCCTTTAAAACAAAGATTTAAAAATATTTTCAAGGCAGTACAGTACTACCTGTTTTCAATACTGAAAGATCTTTTTTCAACATATGCCTTGACATTGTACTCACCTTAAACTCCCACACACTTCCAAATTGAGAAAATTATAAGCTAAGTAAATCTTTACAAAATGTAGCGAAGGGAAAAGAGTAAGTTAACAAAAAATAACTTAGCATCTGTGAACATCTTTGATAGAGCATAGAATATATTCTGAAATTTGTAGAATGTCATCTTAGAGTATACTTAAGTGCTTGACAATTTCTTTAGAAATTTAAATCCACCATCCATTATAAACAGCACTCTATCTACAAGTCCTTAATTGAATCGTTACACACCGCCATTGTGAAATGTTAAAAGAAACCATATTAGAATAGATTGCCTCACTGGGTCAAAACTGAGCTGTCAGGTAAAATATCACTCAGCTTAAAGTGGACAGACAGAGTGACAAAACTGTGACTGTCTGGACCTGGTGAAAGGAATGACTAGGGAGTTTAATCGGTACAGAACTTAGTAACAGAAATATTCCAAAAAGAAACATCCAGCACTCAACTGGCAGGAAGTGAATACAAAGGAGAATATTGTAACATCAACCTACGATGCACCTTTTGTTCTTAAAACAAATCCAACACCATTCTCCAGGGACTCACTGGTTAAGAGTACTTTTCACCCCTCATCAAGGAAATGTCTTTTTGCAACAGCCAGAGACCATTACAGAAACTGCAATTACTCAAAGTGCATAGTTGTGGAGCCCAGTCCTAACTGACACATCTACAGCACAGTTCCTAAGGCTCGGTGAACACTGCAAAGACTACAAGATCCTAGGAGCCAGAGAACCAGAGAGTTTGCTGCCTCAGTGTGAGCTGAACACAGATGACACAGGCAATGCTAATGTGGACAGGGTCTTAACAGCAGACTTTGAAGACACTAAAGAATGCTGAGAGTGGGAGACATAGTCTTTCTTAGGAAATACACAACAACTGGTTATTCAATAGCAAATCATCAGGCCACATATAGACAAGTAACATTATACAGAGGAACAGGTCTCATTTATGTATTTAAGAATATACAAATATATGTAACAAGAATTAAAGAAAAAGGGGTCATGAATTTGAAAGTGAGCAAGGGTCTGGAGACGGGAAAAGAAAGAGGGAAATTATGTAATTATAATTTTTATAATTTTTTAAAAAATAAGCCAGGTGGTGGTGACACGCCTTTACTTGCAGCACACAGGAGGCTGAAGCAGGCAGATCACTTGAGTTCAAGGCCAGCCTGGTCAACAGAGCAAGTTCTAGGACAGCCAGGGCTACACAGAGGAGCCCTGTCTTAAAAAAAAAAAAAAAAAAACAAACAAACAAATAAAGTAAAAAAATAAAAAATTTTTAAAAATCACTAAAAAACAAAATAACAAAAAATGCAAAACTTTATTATTTAATACTGTTGTAGTGCTAGAATATGGAAAACAAAAGTGGGCATTCCTTCTTTTCGTTTTTTACGTCTTCCCTTACTCAAATTTTTTTAGAAATAGAATCAAGATAAACCACAAATAATGATATTTCTAAACACTTCTTATTGGGTAAAGTTAGTCCTTAATTCAGTGTTAAGATTTGTTTCCAACTGAGTGTAAATTCAAAGCCAACTTTCTATTATACTTCCTTGCTTATAATTGCTAATTCTGTGACACAAAATAACTAACACAGTCACAGCTACATACAGGAAAAAGCTAAATAAGAAGGCACTCAAATCATGTCTAAAAGGAGCTTCAGAAGTTCAGAAGTTTGATACACAACTAGTCAAATGCAGAATGGCGGGTTACCCAGTGCACACAGAAAAAAGCACCTTAGCCACAGCAAAGCTGTGTCTCTACTCTTCAAGGTCTTGTGAATCTCAAACATTAAGGCAAAACTAAAGTTGAAACAGCAGACTTGAACAAAGATGTTTAAAGACAAAGTTAATCACATACAATCAAGAATCCATAATCAAATCTGTTTATATTTTAAAAGTTACTTTACGGTTGTATAAATGATCAAAATAATCACAGAAAAGGAC